ATATGTGCCACTTTTACTCCAGCCCCAATATAAATCAATTAAACTTCGAATACTTCATGGCATGCATATATAATAACAATCAGCGCTCCTCTCTCTCTCTCTCTCTCCTCCCCGATGCCATGAGAACCAGCCCCTTGGCTTTGTCGTTGCCGCCCACGTGGTCCCTTTGAACGAACCGGCCCCTCTGTGTCCATCCTCCACCTCCACTGCATCCACTAGCTCCTTCATGTTCCCACGCGCCAACGATGGCCCGCCGCGTTCATCCTCCACATCTATCGCCTTGCTCGTGGTGGCCAAAGGTGAGGTAGCCGATGTGGTAGCGGCCAGAACCCGAGCTCGCCCGTGCCAACGTCCACAGGGACCGCGATGGTCGTGGGCCATAGGCATCCCGGATCGTGCCTTCCTCACCTGCCTAGGCAACCACATTCGTCCTACCCCCCCACCCACCCGCACAAGCGACACACTCCGCCCGTCCCACTAGCGACGGGCCATCACATTCGGTCCTCTGTGCATCGGGGAGGTTGAGCTCGTTTGCAGCAGCGCCAGCACCACTTCCGTGTTTGTTGTCGTCGTGTGTGAAAGAAATGGGGAAACATGGAAACTAGGAGGCTCACTTGAGTGAGACTGTGAGAAGCCATGGAGTCAAGGGCACATTTGTGTGCTCATATAGTGTCAGGGTGATACTAGGAGCCTAGGACAAAATACAGTTTAGGCTTAGTATAGAAGGGCAACAACTCAATAGGAGCACCAGAATTCTTCGATGTATAGGATTGCGAGGGCACTGGAACTTAAGGTGTTGTCTTGAGAAGTGACCAAGGCTGGATGAACACACTGAAACTCTCTGGTGATGGGCACCGGAGTGCCCGCTGGACCTTCGGTCCAGTGAGGGTTGCAACAAGACTTGGAGGAAGATTCGATGCACCACCGGAGATGGCATCGGAGTTTCTAGACCTCTAACGGTCGACCCAACGACTAGTACACGTGGAGTCACCGGATCTCTCGGTGACACCACCGGACCTCTTCGATGCATGCGCGGAACATGCAGTCTGCCGATCCAACGGTTAGTTTTGGATGTTGGGGCCATATATACCCCCACCAATCGGCCATTTGAGGTGTGTGGGAGTTGGGGAACATACCAAGGCAGTTGAGGCTTCACTCTAGTGCTCTTTCCACTATAGTGCTTAGTGAAATCATTCGGTGATTAGTGTAGGTGTTTTGCAAAGTGCTTAGGCTAGTTAGACCACAATTAAAAGTGCCTGCTCTAGGTTTAGGTCTAGTGTTAGTGAGATTTGCATACTCTCTTGCTACTCGGTGCTTGCACGCACCATTATTGTAATCGGAGGGGCTTACAGTCTTGCGAGATCACACCAACCGTGTTTGTGGTGAGGCCACCACTGATGTACTGGAGATAACGAGGCCGGTGGTGTTTCGGCTAGAAGCTCCATAGTGAAGACAGAGGAGGTGGTCTGGGAGAAGGCCTAGTGGATGTCCCACTTGCGCGTGGGGAAGGCCCGTTGTCTCCATGGAGTTACCCGACCGGGAGCTTGGCCCTTGCGAGGGCATCCTTGCGAGGGGTTCCAACGAGGATTGCGGGGGAAGCATGAGCTTCTCGATATCTCGGTAAAAATATCAGAGTCATCAATACAAAGTTTGCATCTCTATCACAATTGAGCTTCTGCACTTTGAATTGTGTACCTATGTTATGTGCTTACAATTCTAGTTTAGATTGCTAGGCTAGTTGATAGGATTAGAAGCTAGGTTGCATAGCAGTTTTGCGGTACAAATATCAACACTCTTAGCAAAACCTTAGTTGCACATCTAGATAGATTACTTAATTGCATAGGTTTTGATAAGTGAAGTTAGAGGCCAATTTTAGAGTAGAAGTTTTACAACGCCTAATTCACCGCCCCCTCTTAGGTGTCACGGTCCCTACAAAAGAGAGAATGACTGGTGGGCTCTGTAGATGACAATGGGACCTGTTCAACTTGCCTCACTTCATGGGCAAGGTTAGACCTTGTTTGGATCCCATGGTATGAAGTTTAGTTTGCTAAATTTAAGGGCTAAACTCTAGACCACTTTAGCTCACTTGTGTGGTGTAATGAACTAATAGATTTTTTATGGGTTTGGCTAAACTTTATACCACCAATTCGGTGCCTCAAGAGCTAGAGTGATCTAAAGTTTAGCTAAACTTTAGACCATGTGTTGGGTTCATAAACCCAGGGTCCCCGATGGGCCCGCTTCCCAGCAAAAGCTCAGCCTAGCAGACGGCATTACAACAAGCGCACGACTCCTGGGCTGGCCCAGTTACCTAATGATAGGCTGAAAGAGCGATCCAGTCTCTGGCCGGAAGGCCTGACCAAGGAGGGGACGACGCTCTCTTCCGACTCTGACCCGCTTTTTCGACCGGGAATGCGGCGAACCTCTGCTTACAGCTCTTCTCCGACTGACACAGTCGGAGCCGACTGGAAACAACCGACCGGGGACGCCCGCTCGGTAAGGACCCGGGAATCAGGTGGAGCAGATAAGCCAAGGCGCTTAAGTCAACCATAATACCGAGGACCATACCCTGCACACCTGCAGGATAGTACCGCCAGGACATACCAGAAGGATGCTTTACAACCTTTCAAACATGTCAGAACACGAACAGTGTTGTGGGCACCGACATTTATCCTACAGTATGGTAGGTGCCGACATTTGCCATACCAGAAGAACACAATGGAGCCTGTCACATGCATCTGAGCGTCAACAGTATTATGGGCGCCGAGAAACTGTCTTGTACCCGACGGCGTAGGCAACCAGACTAGGAAGCACACACATTCTCTTTCTCTCTCTCTCCTAACTTGTAAGGCCGTCCCCTTCACCTAAAAGGGGATGTGCTCTCTTCTAAAAGAACGGTCATTCCGACTCTCTCTCTCTGCTAAGCTTTAGACATTCTGAGCACTCGAATAGTTCCATATCTCTAGAACTCTAAAGCTACACAGAGCGTACGTTCCAATACTTAGTGCACGCTAGAGCTCCCGTCACTCTTGGCCCTTCGGTTCGGAGCCTGACCGGACCTTTAACACCTCCCTTCTTATTCCCACTCGTTTGTAACCACACAACAAACTTCGAGCACCTGGGCTTAGGAATAAAGTCATCGATCGACTGAAACTAGACGTAGGGCACTGAAACTAGACGTAGGGCACGTTGCCTGAACCAGTATAAACACTGTGTCATTGAGTGCTAGGCCACATCCGATCACAGCGTACAATAAAACTACAAATATTTATTTGTTAGTCACTTTTCGTACCGACACTTTGGGACCCAAACAAAACCTTAGCCTTACTAGTGTTGCAGAGAAATTTTAGCTCAACTGGACAAACAAATGAAATCCAAGAAAGCATGGATCAAGACAACAAGTAAAGCGACCAAACATGTGGTTTCTTGTCTAGCCTGGCAAAGCAACTGACAACCATGAATCCAAACGCACATTATCACTACACCAGAATTACTGTCAGGACTATCACTATTGGTTGTTTTGGAACTGACAGTGATAGTGTATAGTTGCTGGTTCGTGGTTTTAACCGACAGTGATGGTACAGCCGGCATTGATAGGTGGACGTATCACTACCGGTTGAATCAATGGACAACAGTGATAGGTTACCTATCACTGGTAACTTGAGCTGTCAATGATATATTGGCTGTTTTGCACACAAAAAATATAACTTTTTCATATAAGGTCAAATCAAGACAAAAAATTATATCAAAATTGTAGAGTTAAAAGAGATCTAAAACTTTGTAGTTGAAAACTTTTAAATTTAAGTTGGTTTGCATGTTCAAATATTCAATCTAAGCTTTCGAACCAGATTTGATATATATATATATGGTTAACAATATCGAATGGTCAAAAGTCTCTGGTAGTGTATGTTATCTCACGCCGGTATCTGTGTTTTGAGGCTTTTACCTGTGTACCCTTAAAAAAGATGCCACACTCCTGCGTACCCCTCAAAAGTTGGTGATCACCTACATGCTCTCGCTCGAACTTTTCTTTTCCCTCACGCCATTCCGTCGGCATTTGCTCTTAACGGTGGGTAACGGCTCTGTAGAATGACTCAGTTGCCCTTGGGCTTGTATGGGCGTCTGAACCTTTTCGTTTCCCCTGTGTCATTGCCAGGCCATGCTCACCAGCGGCGGCCGCCCTCCACAGACTCCAGCGCCATGCTCACCAGCGGCGGCCGCAACGTCAGCTTCTCCCCCTACGGCGCCACGTGGCGCGCGCTGCGACGGAACCTCGCCTCCGGGGTGCTCAACCCGGCGCGGCTCCCCTACTACATGCAGCAGGAATCCATCGCCGTGAAGCAAGCATCAAGGCCCAAAAGCTCCAAGGTCCGCCGACCAATGTGATCGAACCGAACAGAAGCTGAACGTGGTGCCGGCGTTCCAAGCAGACTGGTTGTAGTGTGCGAACAGAGCCTCGGCCATTTGCTCGTAGTCGACAACAGCGTGACCGTCAACAGTTAAATGAGCGAATGCAGTTTTTTCTGCTACGGTGACACTCCTGAAGATGAAAAAGCTTCGTGTTTGCATCGCCCAGCTCTACAAACAGCAACCTGGATCGCTGCCACGCCATCGTCCTTGAGAGGGCTGTAGTGTATGGTATTTGTCAATTGTCACCATCGATGCATCGCACAAGTGTGGCCTGATGTCGCTTCTTCAACACTGCTAAACGCTGGAGACAAATATAAATGGTCTACATACTTATCATCTTTGTAGTTCAATGGGGGTAAAATATTTACTTACTTATTACGTATTTTATATGTACACACAAGCACACTAGCTAGTGCAGCTGCAGCATTATGCCATTACCAAAGCCCCCAAAAGAACAAGAGAGATTTGATTACTCGCACCTAATATTTGGTTATATGAATACATCGACCGAGCAACGAGAAGCAGACTCTACTGCCAATTGGTTGCCATGATGCTACGTACGTAAATACAGCTAGAGAGAAGGCAGCCCTCGATCAAGCAGCTGCGACGGCGGGCGGCGGTGACCGCAGCGGCACGGCCCTAGCCCTGAGCGGCCGCTTCATGACGACGGTGAACTCAAGCTTCTCGGTGAGGTCCACCTCCTCATTGTCGGCCCCGCGCCACTCGAACTCCCTCACGAGGTTGGCCACGAAGTACTCGAGGTGCAGCAGCGCCATCGCCATGCCGGGGCAGACCCGGCGGCCGGCGCCGAACGGCATCATCTTGATCTCCTTGCTGCCGGTGAGGTCCGTCCTCCCCTCGCCGCCGGGCGAGAACCGCCCGCCGGAACTCGCGGGGCCTTCCACACCTCCTCGTCCATCCCGATGTCCCCCACCGCTGAAGTTGGCGGGCGCGCGCCGGGCGGCACGCGGTACCCGGCCCAGCGTCGTGTCTCATGCACGGCGTGCGGGAGCACGAGTGGCCCGGCGGGTGGTGGCGCCGGGCGCCTCAAAGACCACGCCCTTGAGATAAGGCATCCTCGCAGGTCCTCCTCGCGCACTCGCAGTCGGGCGCCGCCGACGACGCCTGGACACCTCGCCCCGGCTTTATCTGCATCGCGGGTTCTTGACCAGTTCGCCAGAATCCCTCGCAGCGGTGGTGGCCGTGGTGTCGGTGCGGCGCCGAGGAACTCGGAGCAGAGGCTCACGATCTCGCCGTCCGTCGGCCGCCTCCGTCGCCCTCGGGGATGGTCGGCTTCACCATGGAGTCGACGTAGTAGCCCCGGCGGCGCCGCCTCTCCCTCTGGCTCAGATCGGCGGGACGAAGAGCTCCTCCGCCGACGCCTCGGCCGAGACGAAGCTTCTCCCAGCGTCGCCGAACACGACCTTGGTGACGAACGGCAGGAAGGAGAAGACCGGAAGCCGAGGAAGTTGGCGAGGAGCTCCCGCTGCGTGGCCTCGATGTCCCGGACGATCGCGTCGCCCCGACGCGATCGGCGCCAAGCACATGTAGACGAGGAGGCGAACACGGCGTCATCGAACGGCTCCATGACGGCAACGGGTCTCCCTGGCGGCCGCCGGCGCGATGACGGGCGGCGAGGACGCCGAGCACCCAAGCCCGTGGCGTGGTGGGGAGAAGGCCCGGAGCCGCGCCGGGTTGAGCACCCCGGAGGCGAGGTTCCGTCGCAGCGCGCGCCACGTGGCGCCGTAGGGGGAGAAGCTGACGTTGCGGCCGCCGCTGGTGAGCACGGCGCTGGAGTCTGTGGAGGGCGGCCGCCGCTAGTGAGCATGGCCTGGCAATGGCACAGGAGAAACGAAAAAGTTCAGACGCCCATACAAGCCCAAGGGCAACTGAGTCATTCTCCAGAGTCGTTACCCACCGTTAGGAGCAAATGCCGACGGAATGGCGTGAGGAAAAAGAAAAGTTCGAGCGAGGGCATGTAGGTGACGACCAACTTTTGAAGGGTACGTAGGAGTGTGGCATCTTTTTTAAGGGTACACAGCTAAAAGCCTCCTGTGTTTTCCATTAACTAGTGTGTCCAACATGTGAGGCAGGCTATTCTGTCTTTTTTCTGTCAATGTACCTTTAATCTCAGGCTCTTTAGAGCAATATATAATCACCGTTGGTCTTTGTCCGTGCGCACATTAGTTGTCACCGAAAGTCTGGAACCTGTAGCTTTTGTGGCTGTCTTGTCGACATGCTTCGAGTCTTTTTTCGAGTTTCACAATTCGCATGAAAGCAAAGCAGTCCAAAACACTTCCGCTTTTACCTCGGAGTCCAAAACAGGGCTTTCAAGTCAATGCCATCGAGCTCACGCTCGGATTTCGTATATTGATCCGGTCGTGTTTAATTTCGAATATTCGAGCTCACGAAGATTCGGTGAACCCGTCGTTGTGTCAGGTGTTACGAAATTTTCACAGAGGGAGGACCTGGTTCACGCACGGGCCCGCGACTCGGTAGCCAGCCTCTTTGCTGAGATCACGTTCAAATATGGTGGGCAGGAATAACCGGGCCCGAAGCCCCGGTTCGGGCCGATTAGGTCACCCGGACACAGGCAGGCATCTTGTGCGTGAAGATTCGGCACAGCAGTCACGTCGCGTCTCGCGTCGCGGTACACGTCGCTTTTGCATGCACCGTTACTTCTCTTCCGTCCGTGAGGATGATAACTGGTGAGTGAAAAAAAAAACCTCTGCATGCTCTTTTTCAAATGTTTGGAAAAAAACATCAACACACACTACTGCACGTCCAGGAGATTTCCACACGCGAGAAAGGAGGGGGCCTGGATGTGCGTATGCAAGCAGACATGTCCGTTGTCTGGCTCTGTCTCGATCAGTCAAGGCTGCACAGCACTGCACACGTGAAAGCCAAGAAATGTGCCAGATCTGTAAAAACCATGACGTCTGATCGGTCCAAAGTTTATGCAACTGGCTCGAGTACGGCGAGAAAAAAATTCGCGCACTTGAAAACCCTGCGAGACACAGAGAGACTTCCCTCAAAAGTGTTTCTTAAAAAGTTGTACGGACATTGAAGATTGAAATACAGTCTAGATTCTATTAGGTGCTTGTTGCTAATGTACTAGTTTCCTAAGGTTTAAGCTTAAATAATTAGGTGCTTGTTGCTTGATTTCGAAGAACTTTTATCTGCTATACGGAACAGAGTTAGGCCAACGGTTGAGGCAGACATTCAGCTCTACCCCGCCGATCCATCTTGTGGCGCATGTAACCTGCAATGGAAGCAGAGACGATAGGCAGAAAGAAGCTCCCAAGCACACACACAGCTGAAGCGGATCTTCTTCAGTTGTTGACCGCAGAAGCAATCTACCCCGGGAAGGAAACGAATAATCTATATTGAAATAAATTAACTTCTGATAGGTGGTTGCTGTTATTACTACCCTGATATGCGCTCGCCGGTCACCAGAATGCATGTCTCCTCTATAGTTGCCATGGCCCCATCAGACGATTAAAAAAAAGATCATGTGGTTAGGCTCTACCATATCTAAAAAGAAGCAGACAGGAGCTACAAGACATATATGCACGTCATGAACATCTGAAAGTGAAGAGAGATGCAGCCATCAACAAGCTAGCACGTACTGAGTTTTGTTTCGTTCTGTAATGATTTTTTTTTTCAGAAAAATATGAAAAAGGTTCTCTATACGGTTTGGTCAGTTCTCCCTCCAGTCCATGTATCAAGATTCAAACTTTATAATTTTCTTTCAATAATTTGGCCAGCAATTCTTATTAACTACTATAATACAAACTTGATACGGTTAGATTTTTAATCAAATATACTATTCGATAACCATAAATTTATAATAACCATAAAACATTCGTGTCCCCCTAAGCGCGCTGTAAAACGGCGTGTCGTGTAAAAACTTATCCTACTTAATACAAAGTTGCGCAAACCTTTTGCGTATTCGAGAAAAAAATACATGGTTTAAGTGTACTCCCTCCGTTCAGTTTTATAAGGCATAGTTTGGAACGATACGTTCTCCTAAATTAAACTTTGCTTTATATAATTATAGTATTTATGCTTATAAACTTATGATTATTGGATAGTACAAACGCTTACAAATCCAACCGTACCAAGTTTGTATTATGATAGTTAAAAATTAATAGCTAAATTATTGGTCAAAGATTCTAAAATTTAAATTCTGATATGCGTGTAAGTCTTATAAAAAAGAACGGGGAGGTAGTAACTTGGAAGACCATACCATGCATTTCAAACTTATTTGCCTCCTAAACTATAGTTTAGAGGGAGTACATGGATACATGTTTGTAGTTTTCCACCAATAGCATTGTTAGGCCTTGTTTGAATCCAGGGGCTAAAATTTAGGGTGTCACATCGAGGTGTCATATGAGAGTGTTCGGATAGTAATAATAAAACAAATTACAGAAATCTTCAGTACTCCACGAGACGAATTTATTAAGCCTAATTAATCCATCATTAGCATATATTTACAGTAGCACCACATTGTCAAATCATGAACTAATTAGGCTTAAAAAATTCGTCTCGTAAATTAGTCGCAATCTGTATAATTAGTTATTTTTTAGTCTATATTTAATACTCCATGCATGTGTTAAACATCCGATGGGATAGGGACTAAACTTTTTGAGGAGGAACTAGTTCTAAATGTATCTCACCTGCTGAGCTTTACATTAACCTGTTTCTACATTGTTCAAATTGTCATTTCACAATTCTACAAATACGCATACGCGATATAAATCACCGATGTTTTAGCTCACTATTAAAATAGGAGCACTAGGGATGATGCAAGTAGGTTTATCTACGAACCCATAGACTTAATTTTACGGGTTACCCACGTATCTGCACGAGAATTAAGTTTATTATTTACGAGTTTTACGAGTTCATGGACAAACCCATGCCCCTTGCATCACTAGTTAACAGCGACCGATCGAAGGTGTATAGTTATAATCCAGTTGACTGCAGAGCAGGCCAATAGAGAAGCGTGTAGATTGAGCGGGTAGGTCTGAGGCGCCCAACAGCACTAGAAAACACACAACAACTACAACGTAGCAAGCTAGTTGGATGATCTGATTACGCAGAAGCTTGTCCTTATTTATCTTTTAAATATGTTGACTATGTATATAAGGTCACACATTGATACGGATTATATTATGCTGGAGTAGAGAACAAAGACAAAAATACCAAGTTCACCATTGCTACAGACATTATATACTATGATTAATGGAAATTAAATCTTCTCCTATTTTCGGAGCATTAATTAGCTTGTACTTGTCTTGAAGTCGATCGATCTTCTGATGTGTTCTACACATGATTTTTGTTGATTATGTATTAAGGTCGGCCAACGCAGAGAATATATTTTAAGGGATGTTACTATAATTAGGTGCCGAGTACACACTTAGCTTGGGGAGCTAGAGGGATTGGAGAGTGATGGGTTGGTTTTAAGTAGACGTTGTAGGTTGGAAACATCAGAGGGATGTTGAGACCTGAACAACAGAATTCCCCCCACCAAGCAACCCTACTGCCCCAGTGCATGCATCTCTTTCATTCCCGTTTCTCCCAAACTCGCCCCCTATGACATGCATTAGGTGCACCAGGTGAATAATTCTCCAGCACACAAAGATCGAGCTTAATTATGATCAGGAAAATAACAAGTGATCTCTCTGAAAGGTACATACATGCTAATATTCCTCATTAACAATAAGGTACAAATACTAAACAGTGGTCCATGTCTATCTAATCAAACCATCTTATTAATTAGACCATTTTTTTCAAAACATCTTACTGCAGATGCGCATACAAAACAAATTTATGGTTATACATAACAGTTGCATGCATTTGTATGTAAATATGTTCATATATTTCTTTTGTCAAACTAAATCTTTTTTCTAGCTCTCCAGTAATAATAACCAAAGCATATATAATTAATTTAATAATATACGCAGGTTCCTTCTAACCAATGTCGTCATGTGTTGTTGTTGGCACTACAGCACATGCTTATGCCTAGCTGCGCTGGGCCCCTGGTCTGTAGCTCTATGTCTATGTGTTGCATGTTTGTTGAACAATTGTAACCGGCGAGGTAGTTAGTCGATCTTGTGGACCTATAGCATGTAACTAACATTTTCTATTCAATCCATCCCCTGGCGAATGAAGCTTAACGTACAAAACCACCCGTTAGCCCACACGTAGCATCAAACTAACTCTGGTGTAACTATCTCCTAACTCACTATCTTCTCACTGACTAACGATCAACCACAACGAGCGAGAGCCAAAAAAAACTGCCCTGCCCACCACTTTCCCTTCTCCCTCCTTATATACCCCCGGCGCGGCGGCCCCCTTATCTCCCTCCTGTGCCTCCTTTTGTTGTCCTCCCCTCTTGCATCATCCTTGTTCATCTCGTCTCTCCCTCCTTCCCTCCAGCCGCCCAGCAGCGTTCTCGATCGATCGATCGATCCGTGTGTTCTTCCTGTGTATCGCCTAGCCAGTTAATTGCTGATTCTTCTTCAATTCTTCGCCTGCTGCCAATTAATTTATTCCACGCTCAATCGCAGTGGCTTTAGTTATTTACTATAGGAAGCTGAGCAAGAAACGGTGCAGGATTATTATTTGAAGGAATAGAGATAGAGAGCTTCTTCAGATATATAGCAGCCAGGCTGTTGTTGATTGGGTGATCGATCGATCGAGGATGTGCACGAGGGGCCACTGGAGACCGTCGGAGGACGAGAAGCTGAAAGAGCTCGTTGCGCTGTACGGGCCGCACAACTGGAACGCCATCGCCGAGAAGCTTCAAGGGAGATCAGGTGCTGCTACATATATATGATCATCGAGACTATATATGATGATCACTCATATTATAAAGCATATATATATATGTTTTTTTCTGTTGGATTTGGTAAACTATATCGGCCGCCAAGCTAGCTAATTCCTTCTCTTTGGTTCATTAACTGTTCGCGTTGGGTTTGACTTTGCAATTGGGGCATGCATGTTTGTTTAGTTAAAAGAAGTTTAGATCTGTTAGGGTGTCATATCAGAGAGGTGTGTTTATCAGCCATTCTCCACTATACATACTACTCCTACACGATATATTCTCCTTGATGTGCATGTCATATCTGTATCACTTGTAGAGCAATTTTATCTAAAAATATATATATATACCTCTACTAGCGTGATTGAGGCTAGCTAGCTTGCTTAATTAAAATGGCAAATTAAATTGTTTCAGGGAAAAGCTGCAGGCTGAGGTGGTTCAATCAGCTGGACCCGAGGATCAACCGGAGCCCCTTCTCGGAGGAAGAGGAGGAGCTGCTCCTCGCCTCCCACCGCGTCCACGGCAACCGGTGGGCCGTCATCGCCAGGCTCTTCCCGGGGCGCACCGACAACGCCGTCAAGAACCACTGGCATGTGATCATGGCGCGACGGTGCAGGGAGCGGATGAGGCTCTCAAACAGGCGCGGCGGCGCTGTCGCCGGCGGTGCTGTGGAAGATGACAATAACCCTAGGAACGCCAAGAAGCCGAGGCCTGATGCGAGCAGCATTATGGCCTCCTTGCTAGACAAGTACCGAAGAGAATTTTCTGTCGTCCCGTTTGCCATTAACCATGATAGCAACAAGCAGGACTATTGCTCAACTACTAAGGAAGGTGAGTACTGCTATATATCTTGCATGCATGATGACTGCACTTGTATGCTACTATAACACACATTTTTCATTCTCTGATATATGCATGTTTGTACACATGTAGTAGTAGGGATTGTGGTAATATAAATATCAGCTTAACTAATTATATGTGATTTCAAATTTGATCAGCAGGCACAAACAAATCAGTTGAATTCTATGATTTTCTCCAAGTGAATGCGAACTCGAGCGATACCAAGTGTGGTTTGAGCATTGGGGAGCAAGAGGAGAACCGGGATGATCAAGCTGAAGTGCAGGTTGAGTTCATAGATTTCCTGGAGGTTGGGGCTTCTCATCGTCAGTGATTTATATCTATTCTATATATTTAACTAGGGATGCATCCAAAGCAGGTTGTAATGCTTTGTGAACGAGGCATGCTGCAAATAGCAATCTAACACCAAACGTACTTATAGAGGAAGCAAAATGCACCGTACATATGACATGTAATTTATTGATGTATACATATCTGTCCATATCCACCGTGTTGGGGGTACATATGCAAAACTATTCTGAGATAAATGAGAAATTAATTATTATCTCATCTATTTGTAAATTTTATCTGATAATTATAAAGAATGTTTGATTCCCTGTCCGTTTCTAATATTACAATTGATCATGTTTATGCATGTTTCCTTCATGTTAAATAGCACACCAATTTCACTACCGTCTCAATTTATGCATGATTCCTTCATGTTTCACTACCTAGTCCAATTTAACATTAATTCATTGGTCATCAAAATATGACGGCGATGATATGCCCAGTACGTAGTATATATGGCACATTTATCATGAGAGATATTTACCATCGAAATACTTTATTAATGTAGTCTGATAATCGTGTGTATATATACGTGTGACTATATATTAGCCCTTTTAGCTACGTACGCGCGCCATCTCCGATGGTAGCTGATCTGTACCGTGTCAATAAATCACTGTGTGTGTTTGCTTTGTTTTGGACGACTTCCAACTCTATGATGACATGTTTGATTGAACAAAAAGATTTGGAAAAAGTAGAAAAATAAGATCCAGTAGCTAATTGGTATTTGTCTACTTTCGGTGACGAAACTTCATCCATTCACGTTTCTGTCGAATCGCTTTAGTGACATTATCCTAGCAAAGGCTAGACAGTGTAACGGTGAAGACTCCTGTTGCTACTATATGCTCGACATGACATTTAACAACCTGAAAGAACTTTTACAATTGCTGATGATGTACTGTGCAAAGCTAATTAAGTCATTATAAACGGACGATCGATCGCTCATATATCGCATCTACTCCTATATATATCATGCACGTGCTTATGGCTTTAATAATATTTTAACTAGCTATTACTATATACTATACGACCAATTTAGTCTAGTACTTGTCGCTTTAGTTAAAACAAAGCGCATGTGCATTCCTCTAAATTAGTGTGTTGTCGTCCTTAGCGAAATTGATCGAGAGCTATCTTTTTTCTAAACTACAAAGTCAATATGTTTTTTTAAAATAGTCGGATAAATTAAATTGCACATTCATCATCTCTACAAACGCATCGATATGCTCACAATCTACCCCTATGATGAGCATGCATCTCCGAGAGATTAGTCTGGCATATATGCTCAAAATCTACGACCCCTATATATGAGTGACAAAGTGGAAGATTCAAACTTAGGTGGTGGATAAGTTTGATCACATGCAACTTAACCAACAAAGCTACTACACTCAATTCACAGTTACACTACGTTTTAGTCATAACTCATAAGCTGTGCTAACTTCTGTTTGTATATATTTGCATGAACAACTAGGTACGCTTCGTTCATTCACCAGACAACTAGATCGAAGCCGCCATCTTTTCTCCAAAGAGGTTATCATATTCCGGTTTTCCAAAGAAACGGATCTAAAATTAAATCTCATTATGTGCTAGTAGAGAATTAATGAAACTACTAGCTAGCTAGCCAGGAAGAAATTAACAATGAACACGCTTGTGCGGAAAGGTACTGTGCGCTGCGTGCACCTAATTAAGCATGCGTTGTGTTGCCCCGGGAGTGAACAAAAGTACACGAGGCCGGATTTTTCGGCCGTTTTGCAACTGATCCGGTACTTAATAATCATTCCTATCGATCGAGAGGCCAGCATCGTGTTAGTTATAGAGTACTTGCCAGAGATGTCAGCGTCGACCAGCAGGGGAAGCTAGCTAGCTCGCGCGAGGTGTACAGCAAAAGCTGTCCGGCCGATGGAGGATGACGGGCTTTATTTGATCTCAAGCAACCTACGCGCGCACGAAAGCGCACGACCGCGCTGCACCACCACGGACACGACGTACACGCCGTCGCCGCGTGCGAGCGCGGCAGCGCGCACCGAGGTCAGGTGAGCGCGCGCGCCGGCGTCGCTTTCCGGGACGGTTGCTCGCGCGCGCGGCCGTGCCGCGCTGCTGCGTGACGCGCGAAGATTCCGGGCCGGGGCTGGGGGTGGATGCGTCAATCCTAGCTGCCGAGCCCACATCGCATTGTTGGTGGCCGATGTGACCGCGCGGACGGGCGCCGGACGTCCGCGCGCGCAACGGTTCAGTAACGGGCAAGCGGCGACAGCTCGGTCGACCGGTCGCTTGCCGTTTCGTTATTTCATGGCATCGGGAGGGGCAGCTCGCTCGCGTCGCGTGCGCGGCGGGCCTTTCGGCTTCAATGGGGGGAGGAAGTGGGGATGGATGGATGGTCGGGGTCGACGACGGCGACGTCGATCGAGCGAGCTAGCGTCTGATCAATGTGGATGCAACGTGCGCGTCGTGTGGCTCGTGGGGCCGGTGACGTACGAGTTGGATCATCCTCGCCTCCGGGGGGCAAGGTCCAATGATCCATCACCGGTTTAGTTTAGTTTCCATCAGAATCAGATGATTTATAGAGCACTCGTGGAATTAGTGGATACAATGTTGCTTTCGATCTTCCCATCTACTTAAGATATATTGACGGTTGGATATAAAGCTTTTCGTCAGTGCTATTTATGCTAACTAGACAATATCCATGCGTTGCCGCAGAATTTTGTAGCGTTATATAGAAATAGAATTTATGGAGGAAGCATATGTAGAGAAAAAATGCCCCATAGTTGAATAATTTTGGCTTCATCAAAATTAAATGTTGAAATCTTAAACTTGGTACATCTTCAATAACTGAAAAACTTGACAAAACACCTATCAATCAAACGGTATCTCTTGATCAAGTCGAAATGTACATAGAGAGACACTATCAAAATAGTGGAGTTCTCCCGGTATTTTAAGTATTAATAAGAACTCTACTCCAATCCTAGCATATGGAAATCCTACCTAGGAGGCATTTGGTAAGAAAAAAGCTTATATAAATGTTGAACGTTAAATATCAGGAGAGCTCTACGTCACTAGGAGAAAAGTTGTGAGAAGAGGAAACCATCCAAATACTCCCGTGGAAGCTATAGGTAGCAATCAATTATGAATAAATAATGATGCAAATACAAACCATTCTTTCATTCTAAAAAGCATGACGTGAGGGGAAAAAAGTGGTGTACAAAAGTGAGCATTGCTTGGGTTGTCACATGTCTGTCCCATAGAAAGAATCGGGACTCGTGCTGGTCAAACTTTCTTAAGCCTGACTAGATTTATAGAAAATATTAACATCATTTATATCTATAAATAAGTTTATTATGAAAATATATTCAAAGGTCTATCAACGATACAAATTATGTACTGTAAATATTAATATTTTGTTATATATATTTAGTTAAAGTTAAAAGATAGTTGGCTTTTTGGAAAGTGAGAATGACTCTTTTTATGGGATGGAGGGAGCACGTAATAGCAAATATTACATGACTACATGAAGAACACACGTTGGAGAATTAGGTAAGGAAAATCATCCACCCGATGATAGGGGAATAAGAGGAAAACGGTGCTGAATTTTAAAGGCAAGATGTAGAATTCAAATAAATTACTATTTTGTTTAACGTAGTTGGGCTTGGGCCGGGCATGCTGAAGTAGCAGATTGCATCTAGGATCTGTTTGTGACAGCTCCTCTTGTGAAAAATTGAATCTGAATCTGGGATTCACCGTGGAGCGGTTCCACTAGTGAATCTGAGATCCACCGTGGATCTAGTAGGAAAGTGTTTGGCTACACAGCAGCACCAAATCCACACAAGGGCATTTTTATTGAAATGGACTGATTTGCCCTTGGGACAAGCCCCACATGTCAGCGTCTAGAAAAAAATCACGATCTTCTTCCTCCACGCTGATGGCAGCACCGGCGGGCACAGGGGACCAGGGGCGGCGCCCCGGCGAGGCCAGGCAGGCCGCGCCGGTGGCCAGGCTAGGCAAGCCGCACTCGCGCCGGCGACCAAGGGGGCGGAGCTTGTGAGCACGAGGCGGCGCTCGCGCTCGCGAGGACAGGGGCGAGCTCACAGGGCTAGGGCTGGATCTTGCGCTCGCAGCCATGACGGGATCTTGCGCTCGCGAGGACGGGAGCCCCAGCAGCCATGGCGGCTTGGTGGCCGGCGGGGCCGGGTTGGGCACCAGTATGGATGTCCCATTGCCCCCTGCAGGAGCCGCTGCGGAGACTCGCCGGAGGCAGCGGGCGCAACCTCACTAGGGGCAGCACGCACGACCTCTCTGGGGACGGGGCGGGGCCTCGTGGGGGTGTGGCCGGGGACGGGCGCGTGGCCTCGCTGGGGGCAGGCTCGGTGAGGGCTAGCGGCCATGGCGCGGGCGGTGGCGGAGTTACGACGCGCGAGAGGGAAGGCTCGGGTCGGCGACAGGAAAGAGAAGGGAAAAAATAGAAACGAACCGGTACGTTGTATAATCAGTGGCAGTGGTGGGTAATTTCCTTCAACTCCACCAAATCTAAGTTGGTGGAGCACCCCTTGAGGAGATCCATCATTTTGGTGAATCTGACCCTCAGATTCACTGTTTTGATGGATCTGAATTTGGTGGATCTAGAGTGTTTGGCAAACTTTTAGTGGAGTAGAGCTGTTTTTTGTGGATCTGAAGTTTAGGGAGCTGTCACAAACATGTCCTCTATTCGCATGTCTGTAGATGGATTCACGAATAGATGAGACCGGAACGGAAGCTTGATTGGTGCATCCTTCAAGCTTCAGCGACTGTGGCAGCTGTCCTCGTCCCCACCTCTCCGTCGGTGCCGGTTGGCCTGCGCGAAGCTGCGCACGTTGGCCTTGGCGACCCGGTGGATGAACTGCAGTGCAGAGTGTAGTTCCAATGGCAGAGGCCCGTCCTGGTCCTTGAGTGCCTCCACCCCGATGCTCGTCGCTACCATCGACGACGCCATGTCCTTCTGCTCCTCACACATATTATTGC